GGCGCTTGATCGCTTCTGGATCGGTCAAAACCCGCTCCTCGGAAACTGCAGAGGAAGCGGCAATAGCGCTAGCTATAACTAATTCGCAGCCAGATTTGATTTTCAGTGATTCAAAGACAGCCATCCGAAATCTGGCGAGGGGCAGAATATCGGCGACCGCCACACGATTTCTGCATGGGGCCACGGGACGAGAAATGAGAGAAATAGAAATTGTCTGGGTACCAGCACACTCTGGGAACCCTGGGAACGAGGCGGCTCGCCTGAATGCTCGAGGTTTCATCAGCCGGGTAGGTGAGCCGCCAGTTCCGGGGAGGTCCGCGAGAGATGGGCTGGTGTCCTTTCATGACATAACGAATCATTATAAACTAGAGCGGAGGTTTTATCCGCCCCCGCACAAGCGGTTGACTAAGGCGCAGGAATGCGCCTGGAGAAAACTGCAGACGCGATCTTTTCCCAACCCTTATGTGTTGAACAAAATGTACCCGGAGGAGATTAAGCCGCAATGCAAATGGTGTCAGGCTGTGGCAACATATGATCACATACTTTGGGAATGTAGTATAGTGCCGCCGCCGGTAGATATTATGCGTGATCCCTCTCTTGAGCACTGGGAGGCCGTGTTGACTAGCTCAGACCCAGTCGTCCAGTTAAGGGTCGTGGAGTGGGCCACACAGGTCGCCGCCAACCTTGGGTTGATGGCCATCTAACACGGAATCATCCTCAGTTGCTTTCTGACGAAATAAAGTTTTTCCATCCCATCATGTGCAGCTGTAGACATCGGTTTTTACGAGCAGACGCTGCCTGCGTCGGCTTTGCGAGGCGAGAGGGGGAGGTGGGAGCAAACAGTTGGCACGAGACGCAATCATGCGGCACGATGTGCGAGCATGCGCAGTGGGGGTGTGGACATCACCGCCGACGCGCAACGCGCGGAAATGCTCCGCATTAAGAAAACACACACAGAAAAGTTGTCTGCGCAATCAATGAGGACTAATGTACGACGTACGCTAGAGCACTAGTACTAATGCTGCCACCGAACCCTTACTTGGTGCTACTCACCAGTAGTAACACAAGTGAAATATTGCCGGCTCAGCTCTACCAAAATTATTCTTTATGCTATCACACCTAAATCATTTTATTCAAAAGCTTCTATTTGGGCGGTTGGTGGTGGTGGTCAAAATCATTTATTCATACTATTGACAAGAGAGATAGAGGTGGCCTCAAAGCCCGACCCCTTATAAACTTCAGGAGGAGTCCCCAGTCCGGGACCCCTGTGGCTTCCGCGGCGGCATGAGCCCTGGCCACGAGGGCTCTTTGACCCTCCAAGGCCGAGCAGGGCAGCCTCCTAGCTTTCTCGGGTAGGAGGTGAAGGGGAAGTGATTAGGGGGACCACCGGGTTAGATGGGCATGCCCACACCATGTGGAAAGTATCCGCAAGCGGATGACCACAGTGTGGGCATCCCCCTGAGAAAGCCGGATTGTATGCTAAATGTACCTAGACCAACTAATCGGCTTTCAACGTAATGCTGAGCATGAAATCTAGGGCACTTGGACGACACTTGGCTAGCGGTATCATCAGTCACGGCCACATGAACATTTACTAAGAGTCTGGATGATAAGTGAGCGTAGCGCGCCATAGAAAAGTAGTTTCGTTGGAAGGGTGCCATTTGCAAGATGAACAAAGCGCAAGAATACGAACGCATGTGAAACAGAGGCAGAGTATTTCATCTCACCGCGATTCACAATAAAAAGTTCACAAGAAAACACATAAGCACTCTGTGTGTTCTGTTATTGCTCTCAAGTTTTATTCATTTATTCAGGCAACGACAGCGTCACATGCGACTGCGGATGACATCAGAGCACAGGTGTCTATGTAGAGAAGCGCCGTTAAAGCACTCTCAACTACGTAGGGCTATTTTTTCTTGTATGTCATCCCCACATTCTCCGGGCACGCGCGCCCACAAGAAGAAAGGCAAGCAGCATTAAAATTGAAATTCGACCAATTTCTGTGGCCCGTAGCATTGCACAATCGGGCAGATGTGATCGTGAACGCCCAGAGCACGCAATGTGCCTGTCAGCTCAAAATGGTCAGACCTGGCGAGGGGCCCATTTTCCCTTTTAGGCGCGAAGCTTCTTAAGGCGTGGGCTGTGCGTCCCCTGTATTTAGCCACCTCTCATTTAGTTCTTTCAGTGTTCACTAGATGGCGGCACTTGTGGCTAATGATGAAAAGATGCAAGATGTTATAAACTAGACGGCAGTATTTGTAGTTGATGATGAAAGATGCGAGATGTTATAAAATAGGAATGATGTCACATATCGCGCGTGTCATTAGGGGAAGGCAATCGTTCAATTTATTGCGGCGACGTACGCTAGGGGGGGAGTTGAAGTAGAATCGAGTGGGCAAAATGTAAGGATTCATGGTTTGCCCGGTTTACCTCCAGAGCTTCATCTACTCATCTATCTATCTATCTATCTATCTATCTATCTATCTATCTATCTATCTATCTATCTATCTATCTATCTATCTATCTATCTATCTATCTATCTATCTATCTATCTATCTATTTATCTATCTATCTATCTATCTATCTATCTAGCCGCCTACGACTGTTAGCTCTCCTGGCCGTTTCGATAATGGTATCGATACCAAACTTGGTATGACAATATGACTGTATGAAGAACATATTCAACTAGTCATAACATGAAAATCATGACATGGATGTAATGAGTGTCATGTTTTACATTTCATGGTCCTGTAGCTCTTGCGGTGGTTCCGTTCGCATGACATGTAGCGAAACTGGTATGTATGGCATTACTGAATGGCGAACACAAGCGACAGACCCTAACATTAAAATCATGATATGCGTGTCATGTAACAACATCACTACATTCCACGCTCATGATGTGCTGGTGGCCGTTTCGCTAGCTTTACTTATACCAATGTTGGTATTACGGGACGTGAATGGATGACGAAGGTATGTGACTGGTGCAAACATGATAATCATGAGATGCGTGTCATGTAACAACATGACTACATGCCACGCTCATGATGTGCTGGTGGCCGTTTCGCTAGTTTTACTTATACCAATTTTGGTATTACGGGACGTGAATGGAAGACGAAGGTATGATACTGGTTCAAACATGACAAACATGAGATGCGTTTCATGTAACAACAAGACTACATGCTACGCTCATGATGCTCTCGCAGGCGTTTCGCTAGCTTCACATGTACCAAACTCGGTATTACGTGACGCAAACGGACGACATAGGTAAATAACACATCCAAACATAATAATCACAATATGCGTGTCATGTAACAACATGACTACATACCACACTGATGATGCACTCGCGACTGTTTCGCTAGCTTCACATGTGCCAAATTTGGTGTTATGCAACGCCGATGGGTGGCGAAGGTATGTGACTGGTGCAAACATCATAATCATGAGATGCATGTCATGTGTGAACATGACTACATGCCACAGTCAAGGCGCCAATACATTTCGACGTGACGCGGTGCCCGTGCTCGCCGGCGTTCATTTCGTCGCGTCACGCTGGCGTTGCCAAGCCAGGCGCCGGTCCAGCCATATACACGCAGGCGCACGCCGCGCTGCATTGCTTTGACGCATGCGCGTTTCAGCGCGTCCGGCGTCCCTCCATCACAATAAGAAGGAGATGCAGTGTTGTCACTGCATCTCCTTGCGCGAAACGCCGCATGTCGCGTTTCGCGCTGGTTGCCGTCGGGCCTTGCCAACGGACGCTGGTCGCGCCTGGCGTCAGACTATAGAGTGCTCGCGTTTTGCTAACGTAGCGTCGCTTTACCCAGTGTGCGCGCGCGTCAACGCTACATTGGAGTATATTGGGCCCTTCATGATGCACTCGCGGCCGTTTTGCTAGCTCCACATATACCAAATTTGGTGTTACGTGACGACAATGGATAACGAATTATATGACTGGTGCAAACATGATAATCCTGATACGCGTGTCATGTAAGAAAATGACAACATACCACGCTCATAGCGTGCTCGCGGCCGTTGCGCTAGCTCCACATATACTAAACTTGGTACCACGTGACGTGAATAGATGATGAAGGTAAACGACACATCCGAACATGATAATCATGACACGAAGTCATGTACGGCATCATTTACCTCCACCTCGTAACGTTGTGCTGATTTAAATGTGGCATATCAACATTTCTCATTCGTGCTTTGCATATAATGGATTCCCACTGTAGGTGGGATCTGCCAATTTTTTGTGAACAATTCCTTGATTTGTAGTAGTGGAGAAAACTGTTAAACCATGGTAACCCCAGAGAGCGAGAAACCTGAATTATATACAGAGAAGTGTTGTACTTTACTAAATAAAGTTGCCTCAGAACAACGGAATACAATTTCTAGAGAATTATTTAACCAGTTCAGAACAAACATGTATGCTGTCAGTATTCTAGTAGATGTTAAAAATATCTGTAATTGCAAAATAGTTTTAACGCACACATTAGACGTCTTTTAGATGTAGATTATCCTCGTGTTGTATTGGCCACTGTTGTTGAGGGTTTAAAAAAGTCTGTTACGTCAAGTCTGAACATGGTGGCTGAAATCAAGAGAAAGAAATGTGTCACTTATAATGCATTCTTTATACTATCACACCTAAATCGTTGTATTCAAAAGCTTTTATTTGGGCTGTTGCCTCATCCCACCCAAATAAACGTTAGCGCCACGATACTACAATATTAGCAACAAAAGGGATCGGACGCGGGCTGCGTTCTTGTTTTGAGCTTTGCTTAACTGAACCATTTAAACAAAGTATTTTCGCTGTTTTTAAAAAGCCGCTTCGAATTATTTCCAGATATGAACATATCTTCATTTGCGGCGGTCTTCATTGTCGACTGAATCGAAACGGAGTCAAAGTCGGCGCCCATTCATCGCCAACAGCTGACCCGCCGTGCCTCAGAACCAAACCGTCAGCCGCAGCGGCGGCGACATCGGCATCCCATAAACAAAACATGGATAGGTACGAGCGTTAAATGCGCACGAAAAGTCATATTTTAGTGCTTGGTGGGGGCGCGGGGGGCCTCCGAAGCAAGCCCGCATTGTAAATCATGAACAGTTTAATACTGTACTCTGAACTGTGCAGGAAAGTGTTTGAATCGGACCTCGAAGACCATAGCGCCTGGGCTGACATATATCGCCTGCTGTCCCTGCTGAGGCAGGCACTTACGTGCAGTGTTTGTGGTACCGTCCTAGTCGTCCCAATGACTTCGAGTGCGTCCAAGTGTCGGCACGCTGTGTGCAAAGGGTGCATGGGTCAAACGATGCGGCTAAGCGCGCCTTGCGCTGACTGCAACAGCAGCACGTCCGGTTTCACCGAGAACAAGCAGCTTCGCATCGTGCTGCAGTGCTACAAGAATATCTGCCTGTACCTGTGCATGCCTAGGTTTCAGAGAAAGTGGGGCAGTCTGAACGGTGGTACGAATGTCACTTTCAGAGACATCGTCGTCGAAGGGTCCCGTCTGACCGACAATTATCGGCGCGTGGAGCCCAGCTCGACGAGCTTGCCGTCGACTTCGTCGTCCGTAGTGCCTTCCTTGGCAGCTTCGTCTTCGTTTTCCCCTTTATCATCGCCCTGTGTGGCAGCAGCATCCACAACTGTACCTACTCAAGCACCGCGTGTCGTGAGTCGGACTTCGGCCGTAGCCGCGGTGACTAAAAGTGTGAGCGGTGACAGAGCGCGTCGCGCTGTGCTGCTCAATGGAGATGCGATGGCAATAGCGCACGACCGTGCGACTTCAGCGCCGTACAAGCTCATAAAGGTGCCCGCAGGTAAGTGCCGTTGCTTGAGAACAGCCTGTTTGTTTGGGAGGTATTCGAAAATGCTGGTTTGAAATTTACTGCACGGTTGTTACCCCCGCGTATTTCAGGGGCACATACCGCAGTTTAGCTATCGCTACCGCGTGCTTCTTTGCTGTTTAGGTGTCGCCTAACGCCAAGAGAACGACTTGCACGTTTAATTGGTAGTGCGTTCTTTGCAGTGAACTGCTGCATTGTCGTGAGTTCGTGACAATGAGTGCAAAGAATCGTGTTGTTTCAACGGTTTTCCCCGTTTTGACTGACGAGAGACACGCTCCCACAATCTCGCTCACTTTCGCTCGTGTTTGCAAAAAAAACTGTGTGTGCGAATAAGAACTTATTACTCTCTAAACGGTTTCGATCGCTATTTCGATGTGTTCTCTAATTTGTGAGACTGAGGGGCGAATAGTTTGAATAGTATAGCTACCCCTGTTTCCAGGGCTGGCTGGTTTGAGTGTCGAAGCTTCCGTGGATTTTCACGGGGCGGCGCGCGTTACCGGCCCGCATTTTGGAGCTTTGTAAAGTTCCCGCTAGATGGCGACGCCGTTTGGTAAAGCGGTTTGTTTAAACTTGGGCAGGCAGAGACTGCTGCGCCGCGCGGCGCACGAGCCACCCCGCACCGAAACGGATTCGCTCGCAGGATTTCAAGCTTGACGGTTGTGCCCTCGCGATCTCCGACTTCAGCGTAGCTCCCGCCGACTGGTTCGCCCTCCGCGGTCTCCTGACGCCGTGTAGCTCTCGCATTGTGGCACCCCGCCCTTGGACTGCTTCGACCGGATCCCCACTTTCCTATCTCCTTCTTTTTTCCTCTCGTTGGCTGTCTTCTTCTGCTTCTACTTTCCTTCTATTCTTTTTATCCCTCCTTCCCCCCACCCCTATAAGGCACTGCGCCGTGTCGCCTGAAGGCAGACAGAAATTAGGTGCCTTTTTCCTCTTCATTCTAATCACTACCACCACCACCGAAACGGCTGCTGCGCCGCATAGAAGTGACGTCATGCATTTTCCGATCAGGCGTTTTGTTTGAATAGTCGGCAGTGTCTAGCGGTACGTCTACACATAACGATGAAAACAGTTGAAATTACGTCCAAACGAAAAAGTGAACGAAAATGTTAGGTTTAGCGTGACAACAATACAAAACCGGCTTGTTTGCCATCTCATACTGGTCGGCAGCTGTGGCGTAGTTGGTTAAAGCAACACATCAACTGGTGAGGTAGGTGGTTCAAGACCCATTGCAGTTATCAATACTTTCTCTTCTTTTTGTGCACGCATGTATTGTTTTAACATTTGCGCCTCCTCACCAGCCCGACTTGCTGGTGGTGGTGGTCCCGTCCACAGGCCCTTCAATATTGGATCTGCAATCTAGAAAATGCAGTACGTCCAACAACTGTAATCCGCACATCATACTCAGAAACTTTATGGCGCACACACTCAGATGAAGCTGCGGTGCGGTGGACGGCCGCGCTAGCTCCAACCACCAGGTTCAACTAAGCATCCAGCAATCGCATGAAGCAGCGACGACACTCCAGTCCTCCTTGGCAGTGGCCTAGGCCATGGCCACGATTTCATCGGAGTTTTCACCACCTAACACATCGCAGGCGGCTACCATCTCGCTAGGTGTTCTGTGATCTCGCAGTGTTTACCTTTCGCAGCCGCAGTGCCCATGGCGCCCCCTGTATTTAAAATATTTGTAATATGTATTTAAATAACAAACCTAGACTAATTGACTCGTTAAACACCTGCTTAGTAAAATTTTTGTAGGTTTAACGCATTACACATGAATAATTTACACATTTAACTAGCTTTAGGAAATAAGTTTTAAAGTGACGTCACTTTCGTGCAGCGCAGGAGCCACTTCTGTGTGGAGCTGGCAGCTGCGGCGCAAGAGACGCTGCCTTAAGCTTTTTGAAACTGCGTAAGGCTTGTACGACTAACAGGTGGGTAGCAAAACGGCACGACGTCTGCAACGCTACTTCTGGTTCGAGGCCTATCCCTTCGCTGCTTCAAGGTGCCTGCTTTGCGGTTTAACCGGGCAGGAAACAGGTGTGATTCTGTGACGCTTTTGCTGCCGCTTGTTCAATGATTGTGTTCTTCAATACTTCTTGTGGATGGATATATGATATTTCCCGCATTTCATAGAAAGAAGCGAGACGTGGACATGGGCACAAAATGAGGAACGTTGTGAGATAGGTTTCGAGCACAACGTGCTGTTATGCTTTGTAACACGCAGTAATCATTTGCAGAATCACCTCGATTTAGTATTTTCGAGCGCATACACATACCGATACCACTTCGAAATCACTCGCACATATGTGCACATGCTTATGAATGTCTCCATATGGACGCATACTTTGCATGATCAAGTTTGTCGATATAGTATATTTCTAGTGCATAATCCACATCGCTAACTGTCTGTCAAATTTAATAACAAGCACAATCATATTGGCACTTTACTTAAATAACAAGAAAGATCACATAGCACCATATTATGTTTGCAAGGCTATCAAGTCGCTTTCTACTAGTTTTTGTGAAGGCGACTAAGGATGTGCTACTGGTAATGGAGGGGGACAAGTTATTCCATTCTCTGATCGCAAGCGGGAAGAACGAGAATTTGAAGGCATCTGCGTGAAATCTGTAAGGGGCATAGGTATGAGAGTATTTGTGGCGGGTAGTTCTAGCTGCGGATAGCTTTATGTAGCGGGACTTGTCTATGTTTAGTTGACCATGTAACAGTTGGTACATCAGCTTTAAGCGTGCCAATACCGCCCGGTTTTTTATGGTTAGTAGTCCAGCCTTTTTAAGCAGCTCTGTAGGTGAATCTGTTTGGTTAAATTCGTTAAAGATGACCCTAAGCGCTTTTTTTTGAACACCTTCGAGCTTGCTGGTTAGTTTTTTTGTGTACGGGAACCAGGCAGTGTTTGCGTACTCCAGGATGGGTCGTATAAGTGTATTGTAGGCCAGTAACTTTGTGTGGTGGTGCTTGCTGTAATCGCCTTTTTATAAATAACAGTCTTTTCAGCGCAGATGATGTGATGTAATGAATATGAGCGTCCCACCGTAGGTCATGTGACAGAATGACCCCTAGATACTTATGTTTCGTGACTTTAGAAAAGGTAGCTGAATTGTTGACGTAATTGAAATTGTAAGGATTCTTTTTTCTAGTTATACATAAGAGCGCAGACTTTTTTTCATTGATGTTCATTTGCCAATCACTGCACCAGGCTGAAACTGCGTCTAGCGCTGTATTTAAGGCGATATGGTCATCGTGTGAGTGGATTTCTTTGTACAGGATGCAGTCATCTGCAAATAATCTGCATCCAACATTAACAGATGAAGGAAGATCGTTCACGAAAATTAAGAATAATACCGGCACCAAAACACTGCCTTGCTGTACGCCAGAGGTCACCGGTACGATTGAAGATTGGACATGGTTTAATTCCACGAACTGCGACCTGTCTGTTAGGAAGTTAGTTATCCAGTCAACAATTTGGCCCTTACCCAGAAGTTGGAGTTTCAAGATGAGTTTGCTGTGCGACACCCGATCAAATGCTTTTGAGAAATCTAGCAGAATAAGATCAATTTGTTTTTGGCGATCAATGCTTAATGAGGCGTCATGGACCATTTCAATGAGTTGTGTTACAGTAGACATGCCCTGGCGGAAGCCGTGTTGAAAAGGGGACAGTATTTTGTGTTCTTTTTGGTGTTTCGTTATGTGCTTTAAGATTATGTGTTCGAGCAGTTTACCAACCGTACATGTTAATGAGATGGGCCGATAATTGGAAGGTTTGTTTTTATTTCCGGACTTTTGTATAGGAATCACTTTTGCTATTTTCCAATCCTTTGGTAGAGTACGCGACGACAATGATTGGTTAAAAAGCAGGCACAGGTATTTTGTTATCCATTCGACATATCTTTTTAAAAACGCGTTAGGTATGTCGTCTGGTCCGGAACTTTTTTCGCCATCCAACTTCAATAGTAAGTTGAAAACTCCCTCTTCTGAAACGAATAATCACTTAATAGATTTCTCGTCTCTAATTTCTGTGTGAGGCTGTTTTTCGTCGTCAACTGTAAAAATTGATTGGAAATGGGTATTTAATACATTTGTGGAATAGGCATTTTCTTCAGGCATTTCGTGGGTCATTTTACGAACCTTGGGATTCATGTATTGCCAAAATTTTGTCGGGGAACTTTTTATGAACCGAGGTAGAGTTTTTTTTTTTTTAAAAAGTAGACTTGGCGGCCTTTATTTTATTTTTCATGTCAGTTATCCTGTGCTCAGATTTTCTCGGCTATAAATATTTGGTTTCTCTTTTAGGTTTTTCCTCAAATGCTTCACCTTTCTTTTAGCATGTATAACGGCACGTGTGACCCATGGATTCATCTTTCTGGTCTTCTTTTTTTTCGAAGGAACGTGGTTTTTTAAGCAAAAAAGAACAATTTCTTTGTATTTATGCCACATCATTTCGATAGTCGCAGTGGAGTCAGAGGCTAAATCTTGAAATGATGGAAATTCGTCGAACAGTAAGTTATGTATTGCTACGTCATCGGCATTACAAAAGTCTGGAAATGTTTCCTCTGCGTATGCAGGCGTTTTACTGTTCTTTATAGGTATCCTATAAAGAACTTTTGCGGCGTTGAATTTCTTAGGCAATAAGCTCTTTTAGTTAGTCTATTCAATGGCTGTTTGAAAAAGTGTTTCAGGGCCCCTTCAAGGCGAAGCTTAAGGGCCCCCCCATTTTTTTTAGGGAAGGCGATTATGTGTCCTTAATCCGCAACATTTACACGTGTCGCATAACGGACGTCCTTTAACCGCAGAGTTTTTGCCGGCGTAAATAACAGAATGAACAAAAAAAAATAATGGGAGGAGACGGCCAGAAATGCTGGGCGGCAGTGCATGTAATAAAGACTGATTAGAACAGGCAGGCAGTGTGACCTTGTGTCGAAGATGCCTCAAGATATCATTGTCATCTGCTCCTGATTAGAGGTTGCTAGAACAATGAAATGATTCATTTACCAGTTGATTATATCTACCCCGATTGCGTCACTGGTCTATATCTCTGACGCATTTATAAACAGTGAAATCGCGTTCCATTTGCCCTCTAATGTGTGTTGTCGTGCTTGCACCTTTGCAGTGCTAGAGATCACACGCTCCGGTTCGGATTCTACATCGGCGTCGGAGTGTGGCAGTGCCTCGGCAGCGGCTCCTAAGACGCCAACGACCGTGCTTCACTATCAGCGGCCAGTGACGGCGGCACGCCGGGGATGTCGGTGTGGTGCGGCGAGCTTGAACCCTGGCAAGCTGACGTGCTGCGGCCAGCGGTGCCCCTGCTATGTGGCCGGTGCGAGCTGCAAGATGTGTCGCTGCAAGGGTTGCCGGAATCCTGTGGACAAGATCACCCAGCTGTGGGGCGAAGCGCTGCAAGGGGGCAGCCAGACGGGAGTCGACGGCACGCCGACGTCCGAGCCGCGGACTCACGTGGTGCACATCTTGCATGTAGACGAGTGACACAACGCCGTTGTGTGCCTGTATGATAGGTGCATCATTGTGTTTCATCTCATCATTGAAGCCACCAACTATGAGGGTTAATGATTCGAAGACAATGCGAGCGTGTGCCTTCCTGGGGAAGGTTTTATGCCGTGGGGGTAGATAGACCTAGTGGGACTTCAGCTTTGCAGAGACCAACTCGGCTGAACACCGCAGGCGGGTTTCGCCATTGGTCACTCTGTGAGCTCCATCAATTCTTGCTGGTCTTGAGCGTGGTTTTAGAATGCTGGTCAACAGTCTTGGTTTCTGGTGTTGTACTGTCAGTATATAAGTTTTTTGAGGTAGTCATGGCTTGATTGATTGATATTTGGGGTTTAACGTCCCAAAACTACCATATGATTATGAGAGATGCCGTAGTGGAGGGCTCCAAAAATTTTGACCACCTGGGGTTCTTTAACGTGCACCCAAATCTGAGCACACGGGCCTACAACATTTCCGCCTCCATCGGAAATGCAGCCGCCGCAGCCGGGATTTGAACCCGCGTCCTGCGGGTCAGCAGCCAAGTACCTTAGCCACTAGACCACCACAGCGGGGCGGTAGTCATGGCTTGTTGATGGGTCAGTTATGGAATAAAGCACCATGATTGCATACTGCAAATGAAAAAAGTTTGCTGTGAAGTTTATGCATTGCCATTTTCTCAGACATTAAGAAATTTTCGGTGGAGATAAAAGTTCAAAAGCAACAATATAAACGTATGTTTATAACAAGGCCATGATTTCTATGTGACAAAAAGCATTTGTTGAAGGTCTAAGCGTATTTAAAATCTGCTATTTCTGTTCGCTCCCTGCTTCAATTTTATTATATTCATAACAATTATCTGTAAGAATTGGCAATGACAGTGTATGTTTTAAGAATAGCAACTTCAACAATTAAAGTTTGCCAAATGTAGTTTCACTATCTTCAATTTATCTGTGCCTTGTAACTACCTACATGACTATTCCACATCCTTTCGTTTATGGTAATTTCTCTGTGACTGTACAGTCCATGAAAAAGCTGGTCAGTATTTTCAGCACCGCCTCTTTATTAGAATGACTTCTTACGAGTCTGCATTCGTGGTGCCCATCTTTAACACTGTATTATGCGTTTGACGACGGTCTACCGATTCACAGTACTCCTGAAAGTTTCTTCCTTCAGACTCCAGATTAAGCTCAGAATTGACTATGCTTGTTGCAGTTATCTGCTTATCTGCTGCGAGTTTACAGCCCAGAAACCTGCTGACCAAAGCAATAATTCTATTTTCCTGGCTACTTCGCAAAACAGATTCTATTTGTGCCAAAGTGAACATCAAGTTGATGAGACTGCTCTTAACCTGTATGCTGTAAGCCATTAGGAAGCGCCTGCCGGTATTATGTACTGCACTGCTTTGAAAAGTCCAAGCGAGTATCACTGCCTTGGAAAATACTGCTGTGGTTTTGAACCATGCATGGGCCCTCTGCTTGGTGAAAATGCTTGGCAGCTGGTTTTAAGCGCAGCCCACTAATGAAAACTACAACTTAGTGTTCCTGAGCTACCATTCACAGTTCCTTGTCTCATCCAAGTGTCTGTTGTGTTCAGATGTTGACATGTCTTACCTTAGGTGCAAGGTGGGCCAAAAGTTTGGTAATAACTTAAAATCCATCAAACATATTTAATGTTTCGTGACTATTTTTTTTAAAAGAGCACCACTGGAAGACCACCAGTTATGACCATTCATCACTGCCCCAGACTAAGAGATCAACATTCACTTGCACGTAATGTGTGTTTTATCATTTCAAAGTATAGATGATGATTGAATACATTAACAATATTTCTTACTTAGCACACTTTATTAATATAGCTTAGTTGTGAAGTAATTTGTCGTATCACTCAAACTTTAGCACTGCCAAGGATGACAATATTGGTATTTGGAGTAATGCTGTAGCTCAGAATTTACTGCGGTGAGTTTTCTATGCCCTTACCTGGGTAGTAATACTCAAATAGTGCAGTACTGGTGCTGAAAATGAAACCATTCCTTGGTATATGGCATAGAATGTGCATTGGCAGGGAAGGGGGAGGGGGGCTAAATTAATCTAGCTAACACTGCTGCATTTTCTTGGAAAATTAATGGTTGACACCCCTAAAATTCACTTCTTCATGACATGGCAACACCACAGTTAAACTTCCTGCAGCTTCACCAGTAATGACTATCACAATATGCTCTGCATTGCAATGCATAACCAAAATTTAGGGTGGGAGCTTCTAAGAAATCCTAAATAATTATTGATTTTTATAAATATCTATTGGTAAAAACCTGGTCATTGTTTCACTGTTTTTATCATAGCAATCTCTAAAGCCAAATTATGGGCATCTCTCTGCTTTACGGTGCCAAGTGTTTGTGCTAGGTGTTAAAAGAAGCAGTAAGTAAATTTGATTTTGATATTTAATGACCCCTTTGCACACTGAGGTGTCAATAGAAATGAAAGATACAAAAAGGAACTAAATTTCATCCATTTTTCAACGCTGGTCTCGTGTCTTGTCAGTGCGCTCTACTGCCATTCACACTTGATAATGCCACAAATGCCTGCAATGTAAAAGTATAATGTATTCCTGCCCAGAAGTTATTTCAGGCTCTTTTTTTTTGTGTAAGCAGCCACTTAGGTGCAGATTTTTAGGAATGTGCAAAAGGTTGAAACGCCATAAGCTCCCTACGCAAGTTGTGCTTAGTTGTCATTTACCAGGGTGCCTGTATTCTGGAGGGCTCCGTTACACACAGAAGTCTCGCTCACACAGAAGTCTTCAATGTGTAGGTGGCTTGTTTTAATTGTATTATTGGTTGTACCTCTCCTGCTGATGCCTCTGTTTTTAGTGAACATGCCACTTGAGCCCCATAGTTGTCCTACTTTTGCTCCATCTTGCACCTGTATTGCAACATGCCTCCATTGGGATGTATGCACAATAACTGATCCAAAAGTGAAGGTTTGAATGAATGAGCCTCTGGCTGCACAGTTGATCACCGGTGCGAAATTAAATGCTCTAAGCAAGATACAAGGAATCCAGACTGTAAATTTGGTTTTCTCAGTGCGAACTGCTTGCTCGGAACTTTACAGCTCTGTACAGTTATTGTTCACGTCTGGTGTGTGTAAATAGCTTGTAAATATATACATATTTCATATATGCAATTTCCACACGTAAGTGTGATGGACATGCTGGCGACGTATTTTTACAAAGATAAATAATATTACAGTTCAGTAGAGGTCGCACGTTATGGGCCAAAACGATGACTTACTATGGCATTGCTAAACTGTCTTCATTCTTTTGCCACAAGGGATCTTAAAATGTCTTTTTTTTATACTGGACTACTTGTGAATGGCCTGTGGGGCAATGCAAAACGGTTTTTCTTCTTGGATATTTACTGTCTTTTGTATGTGTACAGTATTGAGATCTCTTCTAGTTAGACACGGGTTTTTATTTCACTTTGTCTTTTTATGTTCCATGCTGTGGTTGTTCATATTTGCCTGTCGCCAGCGCTGCTATGTGCACAATAACATACTACTGCTTCTGCAGAACACGCCCAGAAAACATAAGTATCTTAGCCATTTGTATTGTAGTCATTGCTGTGCTGAACGGTAAACCCGAAACATAAAATTTGGTTGCTAATAAACTGCGCAAAGCAGCTACGTGCTGTAATATTTCCTTATAAAGCAGACAGATTTTTCTCAGATATTTGGTTCAAGCAGCCAGAGTTTAGGCACTTCATCTATAATGTGCTGATTTTATTGATTCTCTAGTGTTTCTTCCTGTGAATGTCGCAGAATATATGAACCGTCATTGTGAACTCACCAGTAAGGGAATGGGAATTCAGTGCAATTAATGTGCGCATGGAAAAAGTTTCAGTACAGCCATACTACATATGTCTACAAATGCCTTTGAACATCACAGGCGTGGAGGACAAACAATCGTTGTCTAGAGTTATCTAGGCACCAAAGGCACAAAAGCAGTTTCCGAAAGCTCTGCAGAGTAAGGTGAAGTTGAGCCCTCATTTTTGAGGATTTTCAGCGTTGTGTGATTTACAGATCTTCTGGCAGCCACTCTATACCCATGCACAATGGCTTGTATGTTATTTACTAGGTAATAACATCCTCGCGACCCTTACGCCAATGAAACTGTCTGAACGGGGAAGACGCGAAGGCCATATAGCGAGGAAACATATTTATTTACATGGAAGCTTCGTGATTGCTCTAGCTCACACGTCCTGTCACCAGCAGAAAGTGCCTTCATGGAAAGGTGCCCAACAGTAATCAGTTCTACGTTGAGAAAATGGTCTATGAGTGCGAAAAGGGCAATCAGTTGCAATGTCCCACTTTCATAATCACTCACAATGACCCTGCACTTATAGCCACTACAAATGGCTGCTGAAAAGCACACCTCTGGAACTTACCGTGCATGTCCGCCAGAAAATCGGTGATCTACGCAGCAATTAGTTGGGGACATGAATGTGGGTTGTTGTCTGAGAACTACCATGCATGGTGCATACGACGTCCTGCCAGCCACAGTAATTAACGCATGGGTCAAATTGGTGGTTAGCCTTATGCAGGCGCTGCAAGAACATTTAAACGTGATCACGATGTGCGGTTGTAACAAAGCATACCACGCACAGCTACCGTGCTTCGGCTTCCAGTTAACATGAAAACAATGGAATGGCAGATAATGAACAACCATGGCATTCGCTCTGTGTTTGATTTGGTTTTGGTGCTTGTTTAAACGTGGTTCGGTGTTCACAATGATATGGTGTGGCGGCCCTGGGTTTTATGCGCACCGTCTTCTTCCCTTGTATGTAGGGTACGCTGTCGGCGACTGCCCCCCCCCCCCTCCCTTCATTTTTTTCCCTCAGCTCGATCGCCAGATCGCGCCCACAAGTGCTACTCCCATGATCTCGGCGTACTTGCATGTAGATGTCTGTTCCTGACTGATGAACATGAGGAGCAATCTTCTAGAGTTTCGACTTCGCATGGCGTCACGCTTCGAGAAAATGCCCGCGTCGCAGACTGAACTTTTTTCACGCGTTATTTTCTTCTTTCATTTTTTGTTTGTTTCAGAGTTTAGCTTCTCGGGCGCTGCGCAATCCGTGGCAAGTGAGTACCGCGCGGACGCATTGAATGCCTTAGCAGAATTGGCGCGCCGGCGATTAATTACGCGTTCACGCAGTTGCATGAAAACGGCCCCAGTTTGTACTGTTTTTGATTAACTGGTCGTTATCGGTTGCGACACGAGTAAGTGTACGTCATCCATCCATGAAAGGCCGACTGAGTATTGCGAAGTCTCGTTTCAAATATAATTTCTGTTATTGTACCGCGCTT